TCCAAAAAATTATCCATTGGTCATACATTTTAACTTATTTTATTTATTTATTTACATAAGAAGATAAACGAAAGTCTAAGAAATCAATAAAAAAAATCTCAAGAATAAAAGAAAGGATTACGAGAATATTGGAAAAAGATACATAAGAATATTAGAATGCTACTCGTAATTAGAATTTTAAAATTTTAAAAATGGCATTAGTGCAATGAATAATAACGCGTATAAACTTTGTACTTATTCGATAAACTTGTGGAATTTCATTGATAAAAGATCACTTCATCATATCGCACATGGGTCACATAATTCTAGAATTTTTTCGATATTTAAGGAATGAAAAATGGGAAGAGGGAATTTAATTGTTATTTAGTCATTGATATAAGTTGTACGGATACGGTCATATTGCACCATCACAGACCACTTCCAATACCATAAATTTACCAATAAAAATCTGTATGGAAACCAAACTGTTCTATTTATTCTTCTTCTAACAGTTCTCATTATTACTGGCTAAGCTGCCTCCAACGGCTACAAGGGCAAGACGCTTCCAATCGACATTAAAAGCAATAGAAGCCATTCTTTTTTCTACCGTCTAAATTGTTGGTCCACATATACGTTCAAAATCTTTTCGGAAGTTACCAGTCCAGGTCTTGATTGGTCCAGCTCGCTTTTGACACCACCTATAACATAAGGGTTTAGCAAATAACGAAATATTTGTCAACTCTTATGGTGGACGACAGCGAAACAGCCTAACAAGCGAAGATGAGGCTCTGTGATTATTAATGCAAGTGGTATTTGAACGGAAGTGGATGACATCATGTGATATTTTATCCACTCGACGGACTAGTAAAATGTACCTTAGACAAGAGTGGTCAAAGACACATAATATTCTTAATATCATCCACTCTCATTGGCCATATCTCAGAACCATATAGCAAAATCGAACGAATCACGGCTATATAGATGCGGACTTTCGTTTTAATGGTAATTTCACGATGGCTCCATAAAAGTTTCGTCAATCGGAAGAACGCATTTCTAGCTGCCGTGATCCGGGCTACTATAATAATATCGTCTTTTGCCTGGTCATTTGGCATTAGAGTGGATCCATTTAAAATCGGGCATTTCCTCGATCGGCAATGAAAAAAGAGGCATTTTATCAACTTCTTGTACATAAGACGAAAAGACTTTCGTTTTGTATACATTGACCCTGAGTCCTATTCTTGTTGCAGCTTCTGACACGTTATTTAGCGTCACTTCCATTTCGTCATAACTATCATAATTGTCCGCTAAAAGGACTACATCATCAGCGTATTCAAGATCTGTGATGCGATGCTCTGGACTGATTAGGACACCCCTTGTATGTCGACAAGCACATCCTGCTTTCTCGTATTTCCATAAGTCTGTTGAGTAAAGGGGAAGTAAAATTTTTCGCTGAGACGTCTAGTAGGCTGATTCCTCGATAATTGGCGCAGAATGTCCTATCACCTTTCTTGAGAAATGTGAGCAGAATTGTTTTGCTCCAATCATCTGGTAATATGTCTTTTTTCCATACTAGAGAGAACATTTGTTGAAGATGCATTTTGAAGAATGATGGACAATTTAAACAGTTTAGCAGGAAGACCATCTTATCCCAGAGCCTTATTGCTTTTAAGCTTATAGATTACAGAGATTATTTCCTCTTCTTTGGAGGCTCATAGTTGCAAGCATATAATTCGACGAATGTATTAGTCATATTACGAGCAACAGATGGCGGTTTATAGTTAAATTTGGCCTCAAGGAATTTCCATCTTGTGAGGCAATCCTTGATACTCTTAACAGCCACGCCATTGTTGCATCCTTACCATTTCACTGATCGTTTCCCTGAGTTATAGTTGCTTTATGAAGAAGATGGAATAGTTTCCTATTATCGCCTAATCGAGCCGCCGCTTCCATTCTTGAGGCCATGTTACTCCAATAACGATTTCTGTCCCGCTGTGCTGTTTTCGTCGCAAATCTTCAAAGCATCCGGTAGTCAGGATCATCTGATATTCGTATTTTGGAAGCTTTTTCAGATAGTTGGACAGCTGCTTCCGATACCCAACTAAAACACCTCCTACTAGTATGCCCTAGCGTGAAAGTAGCTGATTTTCGGAAATATTCATGATTCATTCATGATTCATTTAGTTTGGACCAATATTCATTTGCCGTTGCAGAAAAATCATTGATATTTGTACCATTGAGATGCTTCAATAATTCAGTTTGAAATGCGCTCACTGTCCCCGAATTTTTCAGTTCGAGATAGTTTAAGGATCTTGGGGATGCTGTTTACTGCATTATCAGTTTTATGCGGATCTTGGCCAGAACCATAACATGTTTAGATCCATGAAGATTACCTGTTTCAACGCCGAGGGAAGAACGACTGTCTAGTACGGAACTCTTCCAACGGCGACTGACTAAGATATAATAATCAATCTAGTTGAAGTGTTGGTCATCCGGGGAGTTCTACGTGACTAGATGTTTTCCACAATGCCGGAAAAACAAGTATTAATAATAAAAAGTTCACGCCTTTCGGTATAAAGAAGAAGGCAATCCCCATTGGCGCACCGGTCTCTGATGCCATATTTGCCAATTATAGAGGTTATCGGCATTATAACCTACGCGAGCATTCCAGTCTCCCTCGACTATGACCATGTCGTTTTTTTGTTAGCAGTTGAAGTTCCGCATAGAACTTATATTTATCACGGCCATCTGCCGACAGAGTTGGAGCATAGACATTGATAACCGAAATATTGCAGAACTTACCCATAAAACGGGCATAGGCCATACGATCGCTTACCGTTTTCCATTCAATTTGAGCGGATCAAGCCTTTTCAGACATGACGATCGCTACACCACTTTGCCCCGAATTATCTGAGACACCACAGTGATATAGCCAGTATTTCTGCTCCGAGCCAGGATTTAGTTACTCGAGACCTGAAGTGAGAAAGACGGACTTCCGACAAACAGACGATATCCACATTTAGAAATGGTGTGGATAATGATCGCTTGACTTGTCCATAAGCATTCTGATACGACTTCAAGATGTATCAAAAAGAGAGACCGAGTGATATAATAATATAATATAAGATTTTCGTGTCGGGAAATAAGTGTTTGCCTGCGACAGAAGTGATCTTGGCATCGAAAAATACGCGAAAAATACGTGAAAAATACGTGCTTATGCACCAGTCATATTGCAATCGCGAAGTGACTTCCTGGCGAAAATTTCTCATCGTACCATCGGACTGGAAGTATCATACATGTTGGAAGAGGCATAAATTATTCTCATAAATTATAAATTTTTTTAAACGAATGCCGTGTTAAAATTGACGACAATTTCGTTGAGTAGCCCGAGGCATTTAACTCCTTCATTATTAGTATGCAATTCCATACAAAATTTATCAAATGAAGGAAATCTAAGTAAAGATTGTGATCGTTTTTAATTATTTCTTTTCTTGTCCCATGATTTACAAAAAAAGGATCGAAATATTGGTAATATTTACAATCGAAACGAATTTTATAGAATAAAAAAATTTAAAAATTCCACCCGATGATTCGTTAAAAATTCATCGATAAATTCAGATGACCAAACAAATTTTATAAAACCACTTGATTTACCACCCAGAAAAAATTATTCAGCAACACATAATACGTATTATATCATTATCATTGTTATATAAATCGAACTGTAGTCAGCTTCTTGTACCGAAACTTGTTTTGTTTTTATTATTCACTAATTGAATACAACGTTGACCACATTCAACACAAATCATAATTGCTGGATATTTGCGATCATAAAAAATTTTCTAAAATATACACGGGAGAGTACATTCAGTTATTTCAATAAATCGAGTACCACAAATATATCAGCAGCAAAGCACTTAACACTTTCCTTAATATCAATATACTTATTGTTACTTTTATTATTATCGTTATTATTTATTTTTCTTCTATTTATTTAGAAAACATTGCCACTTTTAGACTGCCACTTTTCATTCTTTATGAGTACACTTCAACGATTTAAAAAAAAAAGTGAGAAACCTCTAACATGGATAAATGTACAATGATTTCGAGTTATCGAAAACACATTCACAGAATTTCTTAAAATATTCTCGAAAAAATTATAAAAAAATTACATAAATTTTAATAAAACTTGATTCGAAGAAAATCACCAGCATAAAAGCAAGAATTCACCAACTAATTCTTATTAAATTATATATATTACATATAATATATAAAAGTTTCAATATTTCTGAACAAAATTTACTCGCCAAAAATACAGCAATATATGTAATATAGTGCAATAAATAAATAAAAAATAATCTGTTATTTTAACTTAAATAAATTAGTACAATTAATCGGATAAGCGACATATTGGTGCGAAAATAAAATTAAAACCAAATTTAAAAGCAGATATGATGCGTGACCAAAACCGATGCTTATGCAGCACTGCATTTACCTTGAAAAGATGTTTTAGATCCTTTCGATTGAACAGCTAAAAAATAAGACATTATTCATTGCATATTTTGGCAATTACCACTGCATTCATTTATTGGCTTCCTTATTGCGAGTCTTGCGCCATTTTGCGCAAGAAATTTTCGAAAATCCAAAAAATTAACTTATCCGCATCGAATAATTTCAACGATATGGGAGAATAATAAACCAAAAAACCTTAAAAACTGGAAATATAGAAAAATATCTATTGAATGAACCCAAAAAAATTATTTGATAAAGTATTAAAACATAAAATAAAACATGAAGATTTTGAAAAAACTTAAAAACCTTTCTGCAGCTTAAACATTCCAGTCTAATCAGTCGAAGTTTTGGCGGATATTTGAAGATTGGGTATCTGTCGAAATGCCCAACAAATCGAACAACATCACCTTGATAAAAAAAATAGCCATAAGATTTGAGCGGTTCATTTAAAAATAACACACATCCAAGATGCAATGAACTGTGCAAACAGTATCGATTCAATGAATACGAAATCAACTACAAAGAATAACCATACCTTCATCGACCATTTTCAACATTTCGGCGAAGATATTGGGGGCCGCGAGTATAAGAAGACCTTTGTTGCTACTAAAATGGTGTTCTCCAAATGGCCCAGAAATTTCAATTTCAAAACTGTAGACATTATATGCAATAAGACTACATTGATCGCTGCAACATTTTCGATCAAAAACATTCAAATATTTCAACCTCCACAAAAAAAAAAACTATCTCTAAACGTCCCAAAACTTACAACCAATAAAATTAAGAATCAAAAGAATGAAATAAAAATAATCAAAATTTTCACTTAAAACCATTTAAAGAAAAGAAACTGAAACTGGAATTCTTAAACTGACATATATTAGGTGGAAAAAATCCTCTAAATTTAACCTTAAAGAAGTAACATGTTGGGTGTTTGATATCTCGAGATCATAGAAGCAACGAATGGCTTGATTTATGACTTCAGGCAAATAATCTAAAAGTGTTTCGAAAGAATTATCTATCCTCACGACACGAATAGATTGAACAGATCCTTTCCAATCCACTGCAGTTCCTAAATAAGACTCAAATATTTTTTTTTTAATCCACTTGAAACTCTCAAATTGTTTTTTACAAATAGGAAAAATTATTTAAGCTATTAAATGTATATTATATAACCTTTCAGTTTGCTACACTGAATCTGACTTTCAATTGTATTGCTGCCTGAAGGTATACATTTTCTGTTGAAGTCTGCCCTAAACTATAAAATCTTATAAAAATATAATAATTCACAATAAATTATAAAAAAAAGAAATAAAAATATAGATAGAAACATAAAACAATATCAAGGGCAATAGCAAAAATTTACCAGGTTAAATTAGAAATTCCTTTGGAATTAAAAATCTCATTTTCATTGTACAATAGTACAAGTGCAATTAAAAGAGCAATTATATAAAGCCAGATAAGTAAAAAAGTTATTCGACCCAATTTCTTCCAACGAGCTAGAAAAAAATTTGAAAATATGGCATTTGACAAATTAAAAATCAAAAAACTATTGAAATTATTAAAAAACACACTGTAAAATGTTGAAAGATTTAGACAAGAAATATTACCATTCATATCACATTTTGATCGTAAATAACGATATAATTTCGCCACTACAAAGGGAAAGAAAACTATAAAAATAGTGAAGAAAATTTTAAATATGTTTGCCTGCAATCATAAAATTTATTAAAATATTAATAAAATATTAACAATAGATTGAATAATAAAAAGTTATAGAGTCTCAATCAATAACTTTTTTCTACTCTTTCTTATTTTATTCCTACTTTTTTGCCACTTTTTTACGTATTTACTTTTTTAAATAACTAAATTTTCATTTAATCCAAACCTCATTACTATCACTATCGTGCATCGGTTAATCGATATAAGTGATATAAGACATTTCACGGGTCAAGTAAATTCCATATAAAATTCCATAGGCTTAGGTATTTCTTATTTTTTTCTCACTGTTTACTATTGCTACATTAAGACATATGAGCCCTAACTCAATAGTGTTTTTCTATATGTGTGAATATTTTTATCATGTTTCCTATTTCATAATATATCCTGATCTTAACCTTATTTCTTAATTTATTTGTTATTATCACCTCTAAGATGAATGTCCTCACGATATTCTATCGTCAAATCATTCGGAATGACAGCTACCAAAACATGAAAAAGCAAAATATTTTAATATCGTTATGATTATCACCATTTGCAAGTTGAATGATTAAATAATAAACAGTAGTTTATACTAAACAAGGAAACAATCTGTTTAATTCAAACCGACCTATTAACTGCAAATTTCAATATAACGAAAGTTGAAGTAGTTTAATTGTAATCATTTATTTCGTTGAATGCAATAACAACTCACCATTTTAATAGAGTAAATCAACTGTACTAAAGGAACACTAGCAACGACGATAATACCGATTAACGATGGCGATATAAAGAGAAACGTTAAAGCCATAGTTATCAACACACCGGACAGATAAAAATGGCGATAATACATCAACCAGAATGTTAAACCGATATCGGCCCAAGCCAAACAAACCTTCATCATTTTAATCATTTTAATTTTAATCATTTTTACTAATACATTTTTTTTGCATTGTAGAAATCATAAGGAATTAAGCAAGCAAATATTAAAATAAAATTTTAAAAAACTGCGGCATAAAATTTAAAAATTATTAAAATTTTGATAAACGAACAACGAATTAAATAAACTCACAATATGAGGAATGATAATATGTAGCACGTCTGGAAGCTTCTTATTTCTTGTCAATACAATATAAGAAAGAGGAATAATAAGAAGAGCCAATGAAGGTAGACCCACAGAAAAATGAAATGCATCTGAAACAAAACGCATTTAACCAACCCTTCAATTAATCAAAGTTGAATAAATAAAAAGAATTCTGCCATGAAAGATCCCCCAACAAAGTCTAATCGATTCCAGTTAAATCATACGTACATAAAGGTGATTATGTCACACCGTTATTTTTTTTTATAAAATTTTATTTTTTATCTCTAAGCTGGTAAAATTTATTGTTAGCGTATTAGATCGGATAACTTGTCTCCGCTACAAGAAGCCAAATGGTCAATAGAATTGACTGGCAAGTAAGATTCCATTCGGTTTTTTTCATTTCAATTTTGAAATGTTAAATATAAATTCAAAAGGATTCGACTTTCCTTTTTTTTTTTATTTCTTCTTGGCACAATTGTGGATGAAAATCTTGATTTTGACCCTCACTGCAGAGCCAAGGAAAAGAAATCTCAAGAATATTTTTTCCAGTTAAAAACAGAATTGAAAATGTTCTTAACAAAGTATACAAAGCATTCTTTCGGCCTCTTCTTGAGTATAATAATAAAACCTGTTATTCTCCTGGATGCCGCAATTCAAGCAAATTAATTGAAGAATTCCAGTTTGTACATCCCCTCTTTCCTAAGAGCAATTTTAATTGTAAAATAAAACTTTAACTATATAATCTAGACTATGGTTGTGTCAAATCAAATTGTTCCAAATATGAACCTAACAGGATTTAATTGGTCAAAATTAAAACCTATAAGCAAAACTAAACTAATAACCCACAACTCTTATCTGCAGCATTACTGCTAGAATGCCAAATGACGTGGTTTGTGCATCTAAATTTGTTTTTAAATAAGGTATTTAAAAGCATCAAATTTTGCAAGAAGTTTGAAATCTGAAATCTTCATCATTCAGCAAGCGATTATTTCCAGTGATATACACAATTCGATCTGAGTTATTCTGTGATTCCTCTTTATTTGCATCATTTCTCTTTACATTATAAGCATTTGGTCACTTTTTATTCATTTGTATTCCATACCGATATTACTAATTTCTTTGGGGTTATTTAAACTTCATTTGTTCTTAATAAAAGCACATGACTCTACTTGGTTATTTTCAAACAAGATCTAAAAGTAAGAATCTAAAAGTAATCATACATTCTTAACTTATAAAATACCTACAAAATCGATATTCCATCAAAGGTTTCCATAGAATCGAATAACCCATAGACAAATCCATCTTCTTTAATATAATAGGAAGGCTGAAATATTGAATCAATTTGAACAAATTTTCTAAAATAAGCTTCATAAGTTAAGATTACTTTACATATCCATAAATATAATAGATGTAACTATAATCACTACATTTCACATCAGAAAAACGTTAAAATTACCAAGAAACGAAATTGGCGACTACCGCAATTATCGTGAAAATGTCAGAAGAATCAGCCAGTGAAACAAAACAAAGAATGGCAAACAAAATAGCAACACCAAAAAATAAAATGCTATTCGGCAAAGTTTTATCAGCCATCCCCATTGACAAAACAAAAAGTGATAACGATATGAAAAAATTAATGTATGGTTCCCACGAGATCGTTGAAAATCGACTATTCTAAATGAATTTCGAATAATACACATATTTTGCTTGAGAAAAAAATTTACGAAATGAAATCATGTGTGATAAATATTTGTGAATATAAATATGTGTGATAAATTAAATATTTTGATAAATCTATATTGGCTCGGCATCAATATATCTTAATGATATATTATGCATAAAATAAGAAGTATTTTTAATATTTTTTAAAATAGAAAAGAACTTACAGCGCTATCATTCAGGTTAGATAAATCATTACTAAATATTTTCAAAATCCTCAACCAAATTTCTCGCTGCCTTAATAACTTCAAGTCCTTGAACATTCTCAATGTATTAAACATCATTGTACCAAAGGCCATATAACAAGTAACTATCGGTAATATATTCATAATAGTGTCAAAACTATAAATGAGATATCGTGAAAATGTCAGAAGAATCAGCCAGTGAAACAAGAATGGCAAACAAAATAGCAACACCAAAAAATAAAATACTATTCGGCAAAATTTTATCAGCCATCTCCATTGATAAAACAAAAAGTGAACAAGAACAAGTCTGTGAATATCACGATACCTGATTAACTGGACAAAACAAATTAAAATAAGCGTTTGAATTTGATGTAAAGGAATTAACATGTAAAACAGCGTAATCCACTGTCGTTGCAATTTTTCAAGTAAAAATTCCATGAAAGCATCAACTTTACGAGCACCCTAAATTAAATTATTAACAGTAATTGATAGGGAAAATATAAAATTCGATTCCAACAGTGAAGAGGATTTTCAGCAGAAAAATCATTTTAACGGGATCTGCATATTCGAAATTACCTCTATTAAGGCATATTTTTATGATTAGGAGAAATATAAAAACCATCGTTGTCGATGAAATATTTTCAACTTAAGAGAAATATTTAAAATCCATTAAAGAAGACAAAAAAAAGCCACTTGCAGTACTCTATAGAGCGCGATGAAGCTGGCCACATCTTCCTTACTCTATGAGTAGTTAATATAACTGAATCAAAAGCACTACGGGTATTCTGGAAGACTCAAGGCAAAATAAGGTTGACAATCATGGTCAAAAGAGCTCGATCTGCAGAAAATACTGTTTATTTGTTAATGACTGAATGATTAGCATCGAAAAAGACTGTATTATGCATTGATGCATTGTATTATATTGTATTATGCAGAACCCTCCAAATAACCAATTTTTGGGTATATTAAGCTCTTCGAAATCAACCACAGAATATATGGCGTCAAAAGCTTCTCAATAATAATTCGGCTATGTGCCTATTACTATGTTGTCTATTCATATTTCATGTGTATGAATGAGTCTTATTCTCATGTCTACGCTATTGAAATAGGAAGATGAATTAGGAATAGTATGAGCAATCGAGCAATAGGGGTTGGTTTAAAAAAATAAATGGATCTAATTAATCTTATGAGGACCGATCAAGATGCCTGCGAACATTCAAGTAGCCAATGGAGCCATCCAATGCAGAACTGATAAATAGTGATAATTATGCTCACCATCAGTAAAAGGTGAAAACTTTACGCATATATAAAGATAATTCGCGATTAACCAAGGTAGAAGGTGGGGATATGAAATGAACTTCGCCGAAAAACTATCTTAAACAACAGTGTATTCGAATGCTTGGAACAATATCTATTAATTTTCAATATCTATTAATTTTCAATCTTACTTCAATAAAATATTTATCTGCGTGATCTATGAGGAACATTCAATTATTGGTGCTACAGTAATGCAAGGTATACATAGAAGAAAGAGAGGACGAAGCACTGACCAGGAAATAGTACGAATATAAATCGAAAAATAAAAAAGAAAGAACAGACAAGAGCGAGCAAATATTAGTTCTCGCTGCGCATAATATATAAGAACAATACCAGATGCCCCAACTCGATTTCTGCTTAATGTAATATAAGTAGAAATAAATGCTCGTTAAAACTCACAAACCCTACTCAAAAAATAGAAAATTTATAGGAAAAAAGGTGGTGCAAAAACAATAATATTACATATTCCGCTGCATGTTTCAACAGTGGATGACTGAACTGTTCAAATGTTGGATCCAATATTGAACTCACGTTATCCACAAAAGTCACTTCGTTCTTGCTACTTGACTTTTTACAACTATACTGCAAAATTACTATAACAATTAAGCGATAAAACCAAAGTAATGGCTAACAGAGAGTCATAAAGACTGTTAATCAAGAAAAAATTTTGCAACAATTTTTTTTGCACTTTTTCCTTTACTTCTATTTTAACTGAACTAATTTGTCTAATTTTTTAGATCTAAAATTAAATATTAAAATTTTACATTATTATTAAATATTGAAAGTAATATTTAATATTAATAAAAAAGCATAATATTAAAAGGAAATATTAAAAGTAATTAAAGTAAAATCAATTAATATTAATAAATAAATCCTTTTGATTCAAAGAAACCTACGAAATCCATTATGTCATAAACTATCAAAGGTATCATTAAATTCCCGTCGCATAAAACCTAACTTCTGTTTGTGGCGTGAAATATTCGTCACTATCTTTATCGACATCATCATCAGCTGACAAATCCATTATTTCAAGATTTTGCGTTAATTTTTCAATCAAATCTGTAATTTATTAAAAAATTGAGGGAAACATAAAAGGACATACATACCTCTCAATATAAGTTAATAAGAAATTTAGCAAATATATTTAAAAAAAAACTTTTCTCATCCTTTGCGTGGGTGGCCACGATCATCCTCAACCTCAGGTCCCCTACTTCAAGCCTGCCTGGGAGACTGAGGGTTTTGCGCTGTATCTCAGCTGTTCCTAATAGCTGTTCCTAAGCGCTCTTATAGACAGAGGTCTCTGATGTTCCTGGAATTTCCTGAAATCTGCCGAAGCCATTTTCCTAATTTAAGAATCATAGTTTCAAGTGCTCCAATTGTCACTGGAATCATTTTGGCCTTTATTTGCCACTTCTTCTCTAGTTTCTCTTTCAGCCCTTGGTATTTTTCTAACTTCTTTTCACATTTTCACATATCCCTTCTTCCTGGCGTCTCTATCACTTGGTATCGCTATATCTCTCACCAGTACTGATTCCCAATTCCTGTTTACTACCACGATATCTGGTTGATTGGCCAGTATTTAATTGTCTATCTGGATAGAGAAGTTCCCACATGATCTTCGTTTTATTATTCTCTACGATTTTTGGAGGAATCTCCCACTTAGTCTTGGGATAGTCTAAGCCATACTGCGAGCAGATGTTCCGCTAGATGATGCAAGTTACTTGGTTATAGGCTTTCAGTTCCTGCTTATATTTATTCTGCCATATGTTGGATTGTTTCTAGGGCATTTTTGCATAGTATCTAGAGTCCTAATGTGGTAGATCCTTGTTTCGATGGATCTGATGCTTAATATGCTGCTATAATCAATGCCTCGGTGTTGCCTTTTAGTCCAGCTTTCTCCAATCACTGGTAGAATAATATTAAGCATCCTCAACTATCTATCAATGGTGCAGTAAATGGAGGGCCTTGCTTTGCCATGGTGTTTCCTCGTTTTTTAATGTTTGTACACGCTTCAGATATTCTCTCAGCAGCTAATCCTTCGCTGCCACCTTGTTGATATATGCTTCGAATTTTGTTCAAAACTGGCTTTTGTACTCAACAAGCCACTTCTTTCCGGCTGACATACAGTCTTTGGGTATTGGATTTATGGTGGAAATTTCTGTGCATTGTGAGGAGTTTCCTGATCCTTTCATCTTATAGAAGGGAGTAGATATTTATGGCATGGATTTCCCCATTGAGCTATGATATGCCTTGCCCTTTGGTGATACTTAGATGCTGCTGCCTTCTTTGCTTCCTCATAGAAGTTACCATGTGACTGTGGGATAACAAGGTAGTTGTAGGCAGTCTGTATGTCTGCTATACGTCCTGATGACAGATTCACCTTATTAGTCATTGCTACTTTTCCTCCTTTTATTACCATACCGCCACATTTCTTTAATCCGAATAACATCTTAATGTCCTCGCTGTAAATCGGAGTTAGATGGTTGTAACTTGACATCACCCATGTAGATAGCACCCATGGTAATTTTGCTCTTGAATTTTTACCCATATCTGCTTCTAATGATTATCCGATTGAGGGGGGGGGGGGGGGGGGGGGTTATACAGAACGATACGGAAGACAATGCGAATTGTGCAAGCTGTTTCGAGTTGATTTCAAGTGCCGCTTTCCACAATATCCCACTGAATTCTCAATGAACATTTTTAGGGTCCTGTTGACTTTGTATAGAGCCAGTCATTCACAGATCCATGTATGGCACTGAATCACAGGCTTTTTTATAGTCAATCCAAGCTGAGATTGGTCTGCCGGAATTTTGAATCTACAGCGACTTCCTTATCTATAAACAGCTGATATTGTTCCCAATGCTTTTTGAACTGCATTCATACACTGACTCATATGGCCATAAAGCTTGGTGGCTATGATGCCTGATAGGACTTTCCACATTGTGGATAAGCAGGTTATTGGTCAGTAGTTGGATGGTTGTTCCCTTATGAGAGTCAATAACGCCTTTCCTTGTATTAACCAGTCTGAGTGGGAGCCTGCCAAAAACAGTTGGTCCGTCTCGTGAACCACTTTAGCCAGTAGGTGTGAATCATATCCGGACTAGGTGCTGTCCAATTTTTTGGGTCAATATTGGATATCAACGACTGTGATGGGAGATTTTGCAGTTATTTTGCATTGGTTTTATAAATCTTCTGTTTTTCCCATATATTCTTCCAGTACTGTACAGTTTCTACTGTTGGTGGATTTGTTACTATGCTGAAGTTGAGAGTACACCTTGGACGGTTCCTTGGAAAATGGGGCATTTATTTTTTTAGCCTCTGCTTAGCCTAGTAACCAATGCTATGAGCCTTTTTTCAGTAATCTGGAGGGCTTCTAATGGATGTAGTTCTTTCCCAAGCATTTTGATGCATATGTACTCTTTCACACCTTGCTGTAATTCTGTGAACTGGCTAACTTCTTTGCGTTGTGCTCTGATCTTATTTTCCGGTCTCCTTTTCCATGGGTAATTTGCATTGCTGTTCTTATTGATTTTATACCCCAGCATTTCGAGGATTAAAGTGGCTGGGGCGTATACAAATTCATTAGTTTCTGTTATAGTAGCAGTAAGAGTTATTGCGGGGATTCTATTTACATCTTCGACTATATTATCTGGTAGTGTATCACTGAGCCTCGGTAATCGATCTCAATGGTTAATTACAGCCATTTTGTTCATGATTTTCTGCTTCATATTTGCTTTGCAGCGATGAATATTGGAAGGCAATTTCCAGCTTCCTAGCTTGTTGCGGACATATTACTTTTTTTCTCTTCTTGAATATTCTGGGTCTGAGGTGTAGCGAAAAATTGATCCATTTCCAAGTGAGACATCAGTTTCCCTTTTCTTATGTTGAAATATTGAGTCACTAACTATTTCAGTTAATGTAGACGTAGGTCTTTTATCCATCCATAGTACCCTCATATGTTTCATGTAATCCCTTTGATTAGGTCTGTTATTATAATAAATTCCATGAGTTCTAGATTATCTGTTTCATGGTCGGCTCTATGATTCTAATATGTGACACTTTCATATTGAAGTTTGGAAAGTAACATTAAAGACTGCTCAAGGACCAAAAGAGGCCATTGTTATTTTCCAAAATATTGTTATTTTCTGTTCCATGTCGATCCACTCTTAATCAATGTAAATATATGTATAAAAATGTATACTATATATAAATATATAAATAAATATATATATATATAAAGTCTTCTTTCATCCCCTATGAGTGGTCATGATCATTCTAAGCTTCAGGTCCTCCGCCAGATGCCTAGAAGATTGAGGATTCTGCGCAATATCACAGTTCTTAATAGTGCTGGATAGAAATAAAGATTCCTGATGTTGCTCTCGAATTTACTGAAGACATTTTTCTAACTTGGGAATCATAGTTCCAAGTGCTCCAATTACCACTGGAACCACGTTGGCCTTTACCATTACTTTCCATATCTTCTCTAGTTCTCTCATATTCTCTTATATAATCCCTCTTATATTTATATATTTAAATATTTTATATATTAAATAATAAATATTAAAATAAATATTAAAATTTTTTATTAAAATTTTTATTAAAATATTTTAATAAAAATAATATTTTAACTTTTATGCACATAATAGAATGTTACATTGTAATATATTATATTTTTAAGCAAACATGGGCTTCATAGTTACATAAAAAAGTTATTTTTACGAACGAAATTGTATAATATTTAAGGAATTGTATAATATTTAAACTTCTATTCAATAAAATTTAAGCGCAAAATTACACAAAACTTCATATTTGCAGTGTAGTTGAGTTTCACAAATTATTTAACAAATGGCAAAATGGCAAAATCCAATCTTTTTATAAAGGAAAAATTCGGAAAGTTACCCTGTTGAGTAATGTGATCATTTGTCTCAATTTCATTAATAATAAGTCGAAGACCATCCTCAGGTGAATATTGCTTCGATTTTTGTAGCAAACGAAACAGTTTCAAAGCAGCATTTCGTGACCAAACATCATTATCTAAAATATAATAAAATATATTATAAAAATAAGCGAAAAAAACGAAATTTTTTCCTTAAATGGATAATATTCGATTATTACTTTTCGATTTAAACTAAACTTTATAAAAATATATAAATATAACAAAATATAACATCAGTTACTACTAAAATTTACCCGTAATAATTTACAGATAAACAATTTATAGATAAACCAATCAAATAAGAAAAATAACTAGTAAAAATATACATTTATTATTAAAAAATGCATTTTAAATAAATGGATGAACAATCGTCACATGCATGACACGTTCAGTTAATAAGAGATGAACGATCGTCACATGCGTGACACGTTCAGTTAAGGGACGAACGATCGTCACATGCGTGACACGTTCAGTTAAGGGACGAACGATCGTCAGATGAATGACAAAAGCAGTTAAGTTAAAAGTAAAGATCACTTGACTTATGTTGACTTTCATCGAATATTCTGTCGCTGCTTGAAGACAACGACGAATCGCTCGATTCTTTTCGATATTTATGCATCTTTGCTAGGAATAAAATTAAATTAATTAATGAACTAAATTCAGTGCTTAATTTGCCGAAATAAATTTAATAATTTTCAATTCGAAAACAGTTTCATTTGCAAAAACTGTAAAAATTGAAAGCAAAATTTAAGAACTTAAAACTAAGGAACTTAAGGAAGTACAAAAACCAAACCGCACCAAAGTTCCTTCTCATCGCTCCACAACGCAGCAACCAGCTTCCTTTGCTATCCACAAAAAAATATTTGATTTTGTTGCTACTTCACGGATTATCATCAGCTTTACTAAATCGCAGAAATATTGCGGTTCAATCCGTGGATTGGCAATTTCCAGTTGCTCGTCAGTTCCGAGGGCCAATATTATGTCAATAATAGTTTGTCGCACGTTGAGTGGTTAGATCATTTCAATAATCATATTCAGCCTAAGGGATGAAATTTTGCAACGGAACAAGTGTTGGAGAAGAGCAACCGTATTCGTTCCTTAATTATTGCTGAGTGAAAAATATACATCGTGAAATCACCATAGAAACGAAAGTCCGCATCTATATAGTCGTGATTCGTTCGATCTTGCCATATGGCTCTGAGACATGACCAGTGAGAGTGAAAGATATTAAGAATATCTATCTTTGACCACTCTTGTCTAATGCATATTTTACGGGTGGGTCGAGCGGAATATCACATGTTCTTCGTTCAAATACCATTTTCATTAATACCATTATTTAATACCATTTGCATTAATTATTGCAAAGCGTCATCTTCGCTGGCTAGGGCACCTTCTCCGTCGTCCATCGCAGGAGTTAATGCATATTTTGTTATTTGCTAAACCGTGTGATGGTTATTGATGGTCAAAAGTGAGGTGGACCAATCAAGAACTGGATTGATACGGTCAGGAAAGATTTTGAACGTATAGATGGACCAGCAATATATGGACTTAGACGCGTATAGGTGGACCAGCAATATTTGGACTTAGACGAGAAAAGGAATGGCTTCCATTACTGTCGACGATATCATCAAACCGCGCTGCTTGGAAGCGTCTTATCCTTGTAGCCGTTGGAGCCATCCTAAACAGTAATGGTAACAGTAAAAAAAGCTGTTAGAAGAAGAAAAATGTACGCGAGAAATAGTAAAAGAAATAATAATAAATAATAATAGAGGTCACAGATCACCGAAGAAATCGTAAAAATTGCTCAAACTCACGCGATGAGCCTTAAATTAAAATTAAAATTTCTACTTTAATTTATAAATTTGCAGTCGAGTTGAAGTTTCTACTATATAAGAAACAATCTTTTCAATCGAATCCCTTAGAATTTCTGTTATTCCTCGAGCTTTTCTCTGTTTCATTATATGAATTATTAAGTGATGCACCATAGGCATAAGCACTCTTAAAAAGCTGTTTTTTCTAACATTTCTTAACAGTTCTCAAACTTCTCGCAAATTTTCATATTTCCTGTCGCTGTCCCTCATAGAATTTCCCAGCAATCATTAAAAATTAATCGGATCACTAAAAATTCCACTTTGGTATTATTATTCGTATTGAAATTTTAGAAAAAAATAAAAGGATCCAACTCATCTACCGATTCCCAATTAATTCCTCGAATTCTGTTGTCTTTTCCAAAATTCCATCGATCTTCGTTCAGAAGCCTAGTTTGAACGATATATGCATTTTTTTGAGAGCACTCATTACACCATTACTGGTTAACTCGCTCCAATGGCTTGTCTGACCAAATATACCATGGAGTCCCTTGAAGTACAGGTGAGTCATCCGGATTTTCGGATATATATGTGCATAATTTGCCACATCCTTCTACTATAGCTATTGTAAATAATAGAGCACGATTCGGTTCCATTTTTAACGACAAAATAGGCCAGCCGAGAGGCTTGGACCGGCTAGGATTTCTCATTTTCAGCTACTTCAGCTATCTATCGATAGTACAACCCATGAAAGGTCTCAAATTTTGTCAATTTGCTGAATGAGCCAAAAAATATGATATATTATTAAAGAATTCTCCCTCATATCATCCCGAATTTAATAGATTGATAGAGTTAAGAATAAGGGAACACAAAAGATATCTCTTTTGCTATCCAAATTTCTTTACTGGCGGATGGAAACCCTTACAGTAGCATATAAACATTTAAACTGATCATACTGTGAGCTATTGGTTATACTCGGTTCTTTAAAACGTTTGGTAGATCTTGTTCCTGCTGATAGTGATTTTGAAATCAGTATCAACCTACATCGAAAGATCTGAGTATGCCAGGAAAGTATTCAAGCATGGAAGGAAACCTCGAACCCCAGCTACCTTTATGTATATCCTAAGTTTCTCCAATTAAGCCTGGATCATTATCTCTAGTTGGAATCGAAATGCTTCTCAACAAGTGAAAGGACCATTTTAAGTTGCTGGTATTTTCAAAAATAAGGAATTATAAGCGAGTCAACTATTATAATATCTCAATAGAATCCTCCCAGCTCATATCAGTAACGTCAAAATATTTCATCCGAGCACGGATGATTCAAAGACGAAAGAAATATGGTTAATATAAAGTATTTGTTGACATTTTATTTTAGTAAGGTCATTTGGCGCTTTTATGGTTTCTTGAAGTTGACTTATATTAGCACTGGATCAATCCATCAACCGTACTATGTATATACTTTTCTGTAAGGGCGTTTTATTATAAGTCGTTGTGACTTATTACATTATCCTTGGGGATAGGATGAGTGAGTGAATGTTCAATGATTCAATTCGGAGCGCCAATATTAAGGTTCCATTCCCCATAGAAGTAAACCTGTCCAAAAATCCTGGTGATGCTGGCGACTCACTTGTATTTCCATCGCCAAAGGATTCTCTGACATATTTGTCCAGTGCAACAAGTCAGCGGAGCGAATTTAACCAGTAATGGTGAAAACTCTTTTTAAAAAAATGTATGATGGTAGGAAAATGGATAATGTGGATTATTGTCATTTGTCATTTACATATTCAACTAGTTAATATTCAGTGCGTGGATTTTCCAACTTTTTACTCCAACAAATTAGTTTTATTCATGAATATTCCACTGATAAATTAGCCATATAGTCAGTCTTGATGTCTGTGAGAAAAATAAATATAGATGTCACCTTTCTGCTTATCCGGAATTTTTAACTGTATTTTCCCAAGTTAGAGGAAGCAGATCCATGATATAATCTAGGATATATGTATATATATGCAGTCATACTACTTCTAATTTGCAGAAATTGGCTTCATTCGTTAAGGCTTAGTTTCATTTGGCTGATAAAAATTTGCATTTGTACCATTCTCGGATTTCTTACATCAGATCTGCGGCAAAAATTCTTCGAACTGGTCCTTCGCAATTCAATAATAGGTCCACTCCTCTAGTGGATAGGTTCGTATCTGTGATTCTTGACCACTTTGCCATCCCTGCTCTTTTATATTATTTAAATGCAGTGCAATCTAATTTCCTAGTTATAATTCGAGAAAACACAGGTACCTAAGACAAACTGGATCTCCGATGAAACAGTCCAGCTGCCCCACCGTGTCGCCAGAGTGTCAGCAGATTAGTTATTAGCTATCGGTAGCTCCGCAATAATTTTTTTCATATCATCCGATACTATAGTATAGAATTCAGTTGGTTCATAGGAAGAGCTCCAACTGGGAGCATTATTCTTCGGTGGTAATAAGTTTATAATCCTTTAGATGTTCCAGTATCTTGACTTTTTCGAAATATGGTGTCCTTTAAATCTTTTAATTCTTTTAACTTGAGGTGGTGAAAAGATTTTGGAGGCGTTATGTCCTCCGCATCATCATCAATTTCATTCGGATCCTACCTCTGACTATAACATGGCGTTGAGCTTGTCAGTTTTAGTTCCACAAGATGGTTACCTAATATAAAATTGTTCCAAAATATAACCTGGTTCAAGTATTGATTGTCAATCGAGTTCCACGTAATTAGCTATCTTTTACTGCAATGCTGCAAACATTTATTGGTATTCATTTATTTATTTATTGGCAAAAAGTCCGTTCTACTTAGCACAGCGCATCAACTTCCAGGGCCATAATTTCTCAATAAAAGAATTTCTCAATAGTGTGCGCATTCCAACCGAACATCGTTTTTCAGAGAGATTAATGAAGGCATAAAATTCTAACTTTATTCAGATCAAAGCATAGGAACATAAGCATTGACAACTGAGATATTGCAAAACTTTAATAGATCACATTCCATACGATTAGGGCTTTTCTTGCCTATTCCCATTTCAGTTATGATAGCATTTCTGCCTGAATTATCCGAAACATCACTGTGGTATAATCATTAGTTCTTGATCAGTCTTAAACTGCTTTGGACCCAGAATAAGGAAGATTTCCGAAAGAGAAGCGATATCCACCCGATGTTTTGATAAAGTGTGGATGGTTATCGCCAGGTTTCCTACATCCACAGTTTTGTTGTTTTGATATTCCACGCATAAAGAAAATAAAGAAAATAAAAAAGGAAAACCTATTTTATAAAAGGAAAACCTATTTTATATATGACTTAAATTATAATTATAAAATAAAAAATAGTAAATAAAAATAAAATTTAAAGAATCCCAGTTTCCAGAAATTATTGAAACAAATTAATTGACAATCTATAATAATAACATTAGAATAAATAATATCCACATAGGAGATAAGCGATCGCTCACCACTCTTTGGTGGATCGTCCCATGAAGCTGTAATTATAGCGAAAATTCCATACTGATTTAAGATTTTTTCAAAACAACTGGCTTCAATTTATCTTGTTATATAAGAGATGCTCTGCAAAGTAATCTCTCCGCTATTCCTCCTTTCTTGGAACTATAATAATGCAGTAAGGTAAGCCATCAAAATGCTCAAATTTTGATTCATCCAATTGAACAGAATTTACTTTTGCATATAGTTCCTAATTTTTTTATCTTCACTGATTTCATTT